CAAAACCCAAGCTCTATATCCATCAATTAACACTACAATAACATGTCAAACTCTAATTTGATCACATATGCAGATATAAATCAAAGTTATATATATATATATATATTATATATATATTATTATATATATATATATATATATATATATATATATATATATAATATATATATATATATATATATCAAAAAGTAATGAATTATGTTATGCATCGAAAATGTGTATCTCATGGAAATAAAAGGGGCCACTGAATATTTAAAATGCAGTACTCAAGAACTCAATACAATTTCCACTCAAATTACCTTAACTTCCAGCATTTTAAAACACCATGAAATCAATTTTCTCAAAGACATTCCAGCTGGGAGCATGCAAGTGTATTCAACCAACCCCCCTTAAATCAAATACATAACTCAAGCATCTCCCAAATGCTGTCCAGCCGAGTGCATGCAATTAAAGTATCCAGCCAACATCACAATTTATGAAACAACCAAATGCATGCAAAATCAATTAGCAAGCAAATACATTCTCATTTTAAAACTCAAATTCAACATGCAGCAGCATAAACTAGCAAAATTTCATGCTTACAAAAAGATTCCAGTAGCCAAACATAATTCAACCAACTTCCCACTATATCCTAGCCGAGTGTAAGCAAATAGGATGTCCAACAAAACATTGAATTAAAAACACTATTAAGTCATTTTCTAATATAACCTCCAGCAAGCTTAACAATTAAGAAGATGAACCAACTCAAGCATTTTCTAATATCTTGTCCAACCGAAAATATATTTATGCACACAAAAATTTCCAACAACATCACCAAGAGACAGAGTAGCCGAAAGCAATGGAACTAACATCCCACAACATCATGTTTAATATCAATTTCTTTGCACAACACATGAAAAGCAAATCAAAACTTTAACATGCAAGGATCATTAACATGCAAAGACATCAGTCAACATTTTTAAGGAAAAACAGTTTTGGAAATATAAATTTCAGTGACTAGCAAATACATATAACCGATAATAATTGATTCCAGTATACATCCTTATACATTTAAGTAAACCCCACTTGCAAAACCCATCAACTAGGGGAACCCAACACAAACACACTCAACAACACAGATCGACGTACAAGGAAAACTCACACAAAATCTATCAAAAAAACAAAAACAAACACACAAAATCAGGGGTTAGGTATTCATTACCAGCCGATGAGGATGAGTGATGGCGACCGGCGACTGTGGTACTGCCGAACTAGGAATGGGAATGACTGACAAAGTGACGATTAATCGAAGAGGGAGACACCAAGACAGGGAGTTGAACTTTAGGCATGAAGAAGACTGATGACTGATGAGAGATTGAGAGGTAGGAGAGATTTGAGTTACTGAGAGTCTGAGAGATGAGATGCGGCCGCGATCTGAGACTGAGAGATCAGAGATGAGATGAGAGTGAGAGGCGTGAATGCGTGATAAAAACTTAGGGATTCAAATTCATTAGTGAACTGAATAGTGAATAGTGACCAGCAAATACGGGTGCCTGCGGGTGCCCGCGGGTTCACCCGTATAAATCATGAGTTATTGGACTAGGTACGGGTATGGGTCTAAAAAAAATGGGTTTAATATATTGGACCAGGACCCTATATTTTTTACCCGGGTACGGGCCGACCCGCGGGTCTAGACCCGTTTTGCCAGGTTTAGTAATGATGGCCAAGATATGGTCGTTGTCAACGGCCAGATCTTTAGCCGTTTCCGGTTAGATCCATGGTGGATCTGGCTAGCAACAGCCAGTCGGCACATGACCGACTAGATCTAGCAGGTCATGTGCCATTCCGACAATTTCTGGCTATTGTCCGATGATGGTGGCCAACTGCCAGCAGTAGTTGGGTGGGTGGGGGTGCTTTTGTTAATTTATAAACTTTTATTAAGAAAGGTAATTATTAAATGTTTTTAGTTGAATAGAATATAATTGGATTTTGAATTGAATAGTTAATATTAAAACAAATATGTATTTCACTGGATTGAATAGGCCAGTAGGATATGATAGAGTTTAAAAAGTGTACCAAACAGATGGTTAATATTTTTGTATACAATTATTTATTAATCATATTATATTTCATTGTTTAATTAATAACGTTTGGGTCTGGTTTTTATGGGTCAGGTTTAGGTAACACGATAAGAATAAAGATACGTTGACAGATACTTCTCACAATTTTCTCTCACAAACGCTAATGTGGCAGCTCATAATTGGCTTGGTAAGGCGGAACCCATTATTGGGTAGGTGGGACCCATGCGAGCTAACCAATTGTAAGCTGACACGTCGCGTTTGTGAGAGAAAGTTAGTGAGAAGAATTTGTGAGTATTAATGAACACGATAAATAATGTTTCAGTTTGGGTTTTCATACTTAGACCCAATAAACTAACGGATCAAGTTTGGTTTAGGAAAATTTAACTTGACACAAATACCACATAATACAAAACCATTTTAACACGACCTGATTGTCAAGTCTATACACAAGTCTCCAACCCCAAATTCAATACTTCAAAATGTGGGAAAATTCCCCAACTCAGACAAGTTGCATAATCCAATGGATCTACCTCAAAAGGGTGAAATCGTCATCTTCATATTGCTATTGTGAAACATAATCTACCAAATATGTCAAAACTAATTTATCTCGTTCCTTGAATCAACCAAACATTTGCTAAAAAATTTTAATATTACCCAACATTTTAATGTTTGCAATACCTTAAGGGTGTGTTTGGTTGTGGGTTATTTTACATTATTGAGGTAATATCATCTTATATTACTTAGATTACCATGTTTGGTTGTCAAGTAATATAAGATTATGGTAATCTTCCAAAACCGATATTAATTATTGTTAGTTATATAAGTGGTAATTTGATTACCTCTATTTTCTTAGACATTTTAAGATTGCTTGGTAATCTTAATTTTATTACAATTTTACCCTTAACTGTTAAAATTTTTGGACTATAATGCCCTTATTTTGAAATTAATTTACATGAACTCTACCATTAAAATTTTACCCCTAAATAATTAAAATTTTGGATTGTAATGCCCTTGTTTTTAAAACAATTTACAAGCCACCCAAGAGGATTGCCGACAACCAGCCACCACCGGCCAATGTCACCGGAATGGTGCACGACCTGCCGAATCTAGTGGGTCATGCACTGATCTGGCTAGAAAGATGGTCATGGATTTGGGCTTTTTTGGTCGGATCTAGACTTTTTCCTCTACGCAGTTGTCAGTATTAAGCCCGATTTGGGTTGATTTCGGCATCACCGTCAGCCCCAACCACCACCATCTTACTCCTCTCGTTTTCCTCTTCAAATCCCACTAAACCCCATCAGTGGAGCTACCCCTAATCGTCGGCGAAGCCCACTACTTTTCCGCGCGATTTCCTTTTTTCTTGACACTTTTCTAGCCGTGTTTTCCACTAGAAATCACCCCCATTTGCACTGATTGACTCCCATTCACTCTTCTTCAAAACCCCTTAAAGAACATTTCCGTTGCACTTTTCGATCGACGGCCGAAGGTGGTTTAGGCGACCGATAGTGGCTTGGCTGGGTGAGGGTGTTTTTGTTAAAAAATAAACTTTTATATGGCTGATGTGTTTTAGCAAAATCTCAAATGTAGGGGGTTAAAAGAATGATTAAAATAATAATAATAATAATAATAATAATAATAAATATTATATTAATATTTGAAAATGAGGATAATTTAGTAATCTAAATAATATACTCACCAATTTATTCCTCCCAACCAAACATATCAATAACATATCTACCAATTTATTCCAACCTAACCAAATACGTTTTTCTAAATATTTTTAATAATCTTTAAGGCAACCTATTTTTTCATTTATATAATATTCCCAGTAATACAATATTTTCTGAATCAAACACACTCTAAAACAAATGTGCTTTTAAACTTATCTATGGAATTAAACAATAGGCCTAGTTAGTAAATACGCGTATAAAACGAGTATTTACGCATTTTATAAAGGACTGCCGAATTATTCTCAAATTATTGGAGTATCCGTATAATTCGCGAATTTAAAAAAAAAAATAATAATAATTGAAACGACGTCGTTTTAAAAGGGGGGGAATAAAAAAACTAACCCGCCCAAAGACATCCACTTTCCCGCCCATTCCCCCACACCTGACACCTTTACATTTTAAACTCAAAAGTAATATGTAGAGTTCACGTTTTCACTTACCTCTTTGTATTCATTTTGTGATGAATAATTTTCTTGAATTAAATAGTAATTTGCTTAATTATGATATTGAGTCAAAACACATTTCATATTTTAAATTATTTCCATGCTATCTAATAAATTAGATTGGATTAATGAAATTAAAATAATAATTTATTATGAAAAAAAAAANAAAAAAAAAAAAAAAAAAAAAAATTATATTAATATTTGAAAATGAGGATAATTTAGTAATCTAAATAATATACTCACCAATTTATTCTTTTCAAACAAACATATCAATAACATACCCACCAATTTATTACAACCTAACCAAATACGTTTTTCTAAATATTTTTAATAATCTTTAAGGTAACCTATTTTTTCATTAATATAATATTCCCAGTAATACAATATTCTCTGAATCAAACAAACTCTAAAATAAATGTGCTTTTAAACTTGAGTAATGCTATAGTCACTGAAGTAGTGCGCCAAATTCATGCACCGAATGACGTGACAAAATCCTAACTATTGATTAATTTTGACTTAATATTAATCGATGGTCAGGATTTTGCTACGTCATTTGGTGCATGAATTCGGTGTATAACCTTCGGTGGCTGTATCTTTTCTGTTTAAACTTATCTATGGAATTAAACAATAGGTAGAATTTTGATAGTTTTTGAAACTTATTGGATCTGGGGAGTTTCACAAAAAAACTTCAGGTATGTTTAAAAATAACCTCTTTAGAAATTTTAAAACAAAAAAACAAAATAAAAAAATTACAGAGGCATTAGTAAAAACTAAAAAGGGCAAAAGGCGAAATGTGAGCCGGAATGTCGGTGGATGGTAGGGTTTCGGTTCCCGCCATAAAATTCCGGCAAATCGTCACCATAGACGACCCTCACTCTCTTACACTTAACTAAAAACTTCTCCTTTCAGTCTGGTTAAACCTCTACTCAACCCTCCAGCGCCTACAGTTCCAATGGCTTACGTCAATCACAACCCCACAAGTAAGTTCCTTCTTCCTTTCCCTCATTTCCTGGTAGTTTCCCGAGAAAATGTTGAGTTAACCACAGATTGTGTCAATTTATATCTTGTGGTCCCTGGCTGAGTTACTTCACTTCAATGTGCTATTTTGCTATGGTCATTTGGTTAACTAATTACTTTAAATTTCTTAAATTTCCATGTTTTTGGACCTCAAGGATTTTGACTTTGCTTCATTTTACCTTGCACTTGGTTATTTTGCTTGTTTTATTATCTGTTTGTTTCCGGATAAAATGTACTATGAGAGGCATAGAGAATGAACTGAAGTTTTGGTGCTAAACTTTATTGTGCTATGCAAAGTGTTTTGCTTTCTGTAAGTGAAAGCCAGAGAAAACTTAGATTATTCAGTGCTATTTTGGGGTTTTGAGATGTGGAATTAGCGAGGTCATAGTGAAATAATTTGTCCTCACAGGTGGCTTTTTTGGGATCTTGGGAAAGTAATTTCTGTGGTTTTTAGTTTCCTTTTTTTATTTTAGTATACACCACAGTAGAGTGTGTTTATATGCGTGAAGTGGGAATATTAAAATAAAGAATATAATATGAAAGAAAGAGAAAGAGAGTGGCCATTTATGTATATGGTTTGTCTGGGATTTTCGTGGCAGCTGTGACCCACTTTTATGTAGCACTTGTAATGGTTGTTAACTTAATAATCATGAACTTGGTTTGGCATTTGACTTGCTGTTTAAGAATTTCTTAGTCTTCAATAGATACTAGTAATGATTAAAAAATTATAACGGGACACATGCGCACACACACATTTTCTAGCATTACCGGACTGAAAGAAAGAAAGAAAGGAATGTAAAGAGTTTTAAAAATTCACATACAATTAAAAAGAAGCTACTCAGATTTGAAAAGCATATATTAAAGAAAACGCTTGGATTCTACTTTAAAAGGTTTTGCTGCAAAGAGTTGAGCTTTGCCTTCATAATATAATACCTTCTTGTGGGTCAATTTTTAAGTCTAAAACATCTTGAAACAAGAACTTCCATTTAATTCCTTTTCTTTGTCTCTTTATTTTTGGTAAAAAGCATAAATAAAAGAGTGATATCCATGTCTCTTTATTCTTTGGGCAGGATGGAAAAAAATTCTGTTTACTTTTTTTTTCCTTATCAGCAACTGAAACAGAGATGTAATTTCTATAAGTCTGACTGCTGTTGCTTTTTTTTTTTTTTTTTACAGAAGAGTACCCGAACCTCTTTTTATATTTTTTCCCTTGACTATAGTGGGGTGGGTATGAGTTTCTGTAATATTGAATGATTAGATGATGGTTACATCAGAACTTGTGTGAAGATATTTTGGTGCTGAAAAAATACATCGCCTTTTCTATGCTTATGCTAGTGAAATTTTTCAGTGGCAGAACTTGGTGGAATGGATGAAGACATAAAGCTTCAAATTCACTGTATGGAGAAAGAGGCATACAGTTATGTTTTGAGGGCTTTCATTGCCCAATCTGATCTTCTGTCGTGGGTATGCTATTGTGGTTTTGACCCATTATTTTTCCCTACAGTACATCTTTTAGTTGTATGAATTGCCTTCATCTTGCATGTTATATTTTGAATTTATCGTCATTGGTCCGTCATAATCACCCCCAAAAAAAAAAATAAAAAATCCTTGTCACTGCACAGGGCAAGGAAGGGCTTATTACTGAATTGAGAAAGGAACTTAATGTTACCGATACAGAACATGGAGAACTTCTTTTGCAAATCAACTCTGACAAGTCAATCAAAATGATAAGGTGTTTGCAATTCTTTTCTTATTCATCTTATTATGCTGTAGTATGTTTTTCTTATTTTTGATTATTATATTAACTCAATTTGTGGGTGATCTTCTTACACTTTGCTGATGGCACATTTGATGTAGGGAATGGCGGAAAGGTTCTCACCATGCTCAAGAACCACTTTATGGAAAAGTGAATGCTTCCAGCTTTCATCCAGGCTTTGCTCCTGATTCAGTTTGCAACACTGTCCCAAAAAGAATGAAAATTTCTCATGCTTCAGTCGCAAAATCTCAGAAATATGTTCCATATAGTCTACCTACTGCAGGAATGCAATCTCGGAAATGTGTGTCACACATTCAACCTTCGTCTGGAACTCTTCCTTCTCCAGTGCCTGTAAGTAGTAGTACAAGCTGAGATGGTTAATTATTTTTCATTTGTTCTCTGTTTCACTGTATTACAATGCAATCCTTTGTAAAAAAATGTGTCAAATATTAATTTTGAAAGGATATCTGACCCCACCAAATCCTTAAAAAAATGAACCTATTGCTGAATACAATGGACAGAAAACTGGAGACACATTTGGAGAAATTTTTTTAACTAAAAGAGGAGCCATGTATTAAGCATTAATGTTCATACATAGTTATCAGATTTTTTTCCTCATCTAATTAAGTCTAACCTATAATTTAGTATACTGCTCTGAAATGTGTCAAACTAAGTTCAATGAAGTTAATTAATGAGGTCCAAGTTTTTCAATTAAGGCCAAAATTTTACCATATAATATTCTTAGTATTATTATTATTATTTTAATCTTGTTTTGCCTGGTGAGACTTGAACTTAAGAACTGAACTACCAAAAATAATCTTGAATTTGCTGATTTAAATTTAGTTCCTATTAATCTAAATTTTGCTTCCTGTGACAAGAATTGGAAGTGTTAGGGTTATTTTTGGCAATGCAACCAATGAGATGGTTTGTGGATTTCATTGAATTGTCAACTGTTTGTTTTGTGCAAGATTGTTTTATCTTTGAACTTTGGATTTAAGACCACGATAATATAATAATTTGTTCTTTCTGTGTGTGAGGTATGGTTTATGTGGTATAGAGGATTTGAGAAATTGTATTCTTGATTGAATTTATGTTTACTTTGGAAATTTAAATGTTAGTGCGCAAGTTTTAGTGGAAGGTGACATTATAATTGGCAAAAGTTGATCTATCTAATCTTTTTCCCTGTTGGTGAATTAATAACTTTCTGAGAGAACTATAACTTTGTTAGTTCCAGTTTCAGTTAGCAAGTCAAGAGATATGATTCAGAATGATGATTATTATTTTTCTCTTTTCATAAAAATGATCGTTTGAATGATATTTGTTAGATAATTGTCCATTTTTACAGATTTACTGAGTTGTTACATATGATTCCAATTTAAATTTTTAGATATTTATTTATTTCCTTCATTATTTGTCTCTGATTATTAGATGAGTTTAATAATTTAGAATCTGGGCTCCATAGTTATGATATTTGCATGCATGGTGTCAATGTCTTCACTATGTCCAGGTGCAATTCAGGGATGATCAACCTAACCGTGAATTGGCTATGATCTCCTCTGGGAATCCTGAGCAGTCTATGAAAATAGTAAATCATAATAATCAGGCACCATCTGATGGCAAACGAAAAGTACTGGGGAAATCTCAATCAAAGAAAGGTATTGAAATTGATGCACCTCATGTTAAGAAAAGTTCGGATGTAATTGAGATCCATGCAACAGATAAGCTTATTCACAAGGTGAGGCTGAAAGCTTAGTGTTTGATTTTATGAGTTACTGATATATTAAAATTTCAATAGAGTTGGTCTCTAATTTAACAAAAAAATCTTGGATGTCAAAAAAGTAATCAGTAATAATCTATTTTGCCATGTCATATATGAATAGTGATCTACCGGATTTGGACCTTGGACCATTTTCTGAGAGCTTGGTAAAGTTAATACTGTTCATGTGCAGTCTATTCTGATTATTATGAATAGTGATAAACCAATATATCATAATCTATAAACCAACGAAAACATGCAGCTAAACCAATATATTAGTATGATATATAGAAAAACCGTGTTCACACGATTTTGAGGAATGCAATTGGTAAAAGTATAAAAGTTGAATTCATTAGAATTATGGAAATAGGCTATGAAAATTTGACATCTATGTGAAATAGGACGAACTTCGAGAGATTTGAGTAGGATTGAAACTTTAGTTGTCTTTAAGATTGGCATTTAGAAAATGTAGTTGTTATAGTGTTTCCCGGTATTTTACAGTTAGTTCTGATATTTGGATTATACCAATCTTAGTAGTGCAGCTTGGGTTGATTTATACTGATGCTATATAACTTTGTTTAACATAAGGCATGCTAGGAGCATGAATTGGTAAAATGTTATCTGGGTTAGTTTGATACAGTTGAGATCTGTAAAATACTGGCCAGTATTGATACCGTTTGATGCTACGAGTTTTACATTTCATGTTACGAGTTTTCTGTGTTGAACCCTTTTATGGGCATGAATACCTACCAATCTATTATTTTGCTCATTGCATCCTTTATGTTACAAGTTTCACATTCTATATTAGTTGTCTTTCTTTTTCCAATATCAATACTAGTATTGGAGGAAAATCCCTTTAATAATTTTGTAAATATTCCTTCAAAGCCACATAGGGAAGTTATTGGGGTTCTCATCTCCATAGAACAAGGCTTGGGTTTTTTTTTTTTTTTTAAATATGCCTAGGAATTAAAAAATTCACACACTCTTTTTCTCATTGTGTGCAAGTCTTAGTTATGAGCTTGATGCTTATTCCAAGTATTAGACTTTGTCACCTTATCTGGCAGCTCCAGCTTCTATAGAACCTGGTCCCAGTTGTGGTGTTATTACTGTTGAAGGAGCTGCTATGATGTGCAGAGACAAGACTTGAAGATAATTTTTTTATTTTTTTTATTTATTTTATTTTATTTTTTTTGGGGTGAGAAGAAACAAGAATTTCTTTTTTCTGTTTTTTAAGATTATGGATGATAATAGGCTAAGAAAACATATGGCAGCAGCATAATGGGTAAAGTAGAAGTTCACAACTTGAGTATGATGTTTTGTGGATTCTATTTTGTTTCTAGCTCAATTCACCCTTTGTAGCTTTTTTATTAGAGGTGGGCAAAAGTTGGGCCTGACGGTCCCAGGCCTGGGCTCGGGTGCAACTAGGACCAGTCCCAATTTGGGCCTGGTCCCTCAAATTGGTTGGGACCGGCCTGGGCCTGTCACTTTTGTGAGGGCCCGGACCAGTCCCAGGCCCTAGCCTGGTCTGTTTAGGACCAGTCCTATGGGCCTAAAAATCACAATTTAGCCCCTCATTGTAAAATTATTTTCAACCCCTAAATTTATTATGCATTTCATATATTATAAGGGGGTTTTGGTAATTGGGTCAGGGGGTTTTTGAAATTATCTGGGCTCGGGCCCTGGAGGAGGGACCGATCACCCTCCCCAAGGACCCGTTTTTGGGAAAGCTGGATTTTTTATAATCAATTAACTCTCCTGCTTAGAGTTGGAAAAGTAATCCGCTTGGTCCTACCTGACCCGGCCCGCGGCGGGTTGGTCCTAACTCGCCCGCCAACAAAGGCAGGCCGGGTTAGGCCCGCCATTTTTGGGGGAATGGTTGGCCCAGCCCGGCTTGCCAACCCTAACCCCTCGGGTTAGGCTGTGGGTCGGGCTGGGTTAACCCCCTTTTTTGATTTTGTTTTATTTAGTTAACTTTTCAAATAAATAATTAACGATTTATAAATAAATAAATGTAATTGTTTTTAGTTAACTTTTCAAATATCAATAATTCAATTAAATTAATTTTTTTTTATTAACATTTCAAATATTAATTCAATTTTAATACAATAAAATTGTAATATAATGAAACTTTAGTATAAGAATGAATTATATTTTATACAAGACATGGAAATTTGAGAATAAGACTTCAGTATTTAATTTTTTTATATTTTACGTACCATAAAAAATAATAATAGCAATGTGTCAAATATTACGAAGTTTTATACATTTTAATATTTATGATTTAGAAATATAGTTTAATATTATTGTGTAAAATTATTTGTAAGAGTTCAATCATAGTAGTTTAATTAAAAGAATTAAAAAAATGGGGGACACTTGAAAAAAATAATTAATTTTTTATTTTTTTTAGTTTTTTTTGGGCCAACCCGCCGGGTTGGCTATTGCAAACAAATAGCAACCTGCCGGGTTGGCGGGTTGCCATATAGCAACCTGGCCCGCACGGGGGTTGCTGGCGGGTTGGGTTCAACCCGGCCCGCCATATACCTGGACCACCAATATGGTGGTCCAGGTTGAACTCTCTTCATTGCGGGCCGGGTTAGGGTTGACCCGCCTAACCCGGCCCATTTGTTCCACCTCTACTCCTGCTCATATGCTGTGGCCAATAATGTTGTCCTATGTATGGGTAGAAGATTGCTTTGGTCGTCGCCATCTGTCACCTTATAGTGCATATCCGTGTATGTCACACAACCATATGCAGCAGCTGCGTAAATGGATTCCTACTTCCATGTTTATAGCACATGCCCATGCAGCAGTGTTGTCCACCTTGTCTAGTGCAGGACTCTATATTGCCAACATTTCTTGTAAAGAGTATTATTATGCTAAAGCTTGTATAGAGAAACAAATTTGGTGAAGTTAAAGTATACAATCTATGATCTCTTGTTTATTGTATGCAGAACCGAGGATGTTCTGTACATGGTTGCTTGATTTTAATAGTATGTTTGATCTCGTGACTCCTTTTGAAAAGCTATCCTCTACTTGGACTATATATCACTTGAATTTGTGCTGAAATTAATTAGTTTTAGCCTAGTCATTTTAGTTACTCAAGGTACTTGAAGACTCTTTAATTGCACCTTTTAACAGATACTGATTTTGGACACATGAATATGTGGTAGAAAATTTAATTTTGTTACTGCCTACTGTCTAAGTAAAGGTGCTCAACTTTCTGAAAGACTTCTGTCACTTCTATAAAATGTCATCTGTTTCAACCCATGGCTTACATTGGACTAACAACAGAAGAAGTTAGCGCCTAAGGCTGCACAGTCCGTGCAGGGAAATAGTTGGGCTATGACACTAGGCAATGCCTTAAATGAACCTGGTAAAGAGCCAGTCATTATTGGATACTAAACAAATGAAAGCCAAATTCTCTAGAAATTATGGTTTCATCTTAGCCACAGAGCTCTGTTATGCACTAAGATTCTTCTGTATTGGATTATGCCCATCCAGTAAAATTCTCACGAGTTTTGATTGGCAGAGGATCACTTTGATTAACTTTTTCTCTTTAGTGTGTGTATGTTGAGCGTTTTAGCATACTTTACACATTGATTATCTTTAGAAGTTCTTTTCTGTTGAAATCTCTGAACTCTTTGCATTTGGCAGGTGGAGAGGACAATTTATGGTACTAAAAACCCTAACCCAGTTCAAATTGAGAAGGCAAAGTTAACCCTAAGAGTATCCTCGATCCCCTCTTTATACAATCCATATGATGTTATTCTTTTTGCATATTGTTATCTGGTTGATAAGAGCTTGCTTGGATTTTCTATTTGTCACAATTAGTGATACTGTAAATTTAAAATTGTTTGTAGGAGCATGAAAGAACTCTCTTAGATGCGCTTGATAAACTTGCTGATGTGTCAGATGGTGGGAGTCACTTTTTCTCTATAACCTTGTTGTTTATTCTCTTTGACTTGTTTGTATCTGAAGTTCATGGACATATTTAAATTTCCAGATGAGCCTCCCTACGAAACGCAGCATCACTACTCCCACAAGAAGCATCCTGGAAATGGACAGGGAATGGAAGCACACTGCAACTTGTATAGACAGATAGGCGGGTTTCATGGCTATCATAGTGAGGCTTTTGGTCAGACGCAATCTGTCAGAATGGGGGCCCCTTTCCTGGGTGTGCAAGGTGATGAAGATACGCCTTGACCAGGCCTTGTACTTAAATGATGTAGATATGACACTGACCTCAGGCAGGGTTCATCATATGGGTTGTTCACAAACTAGTCATTGAATGGTGATTTTAGTATTTTGCTGTCGTTCTAGGCCTTTTCATTCAGAGTATACTTTTATTCTATATGACAGTGGCATCTAGGTCTCCAACTTAATAGCCGCTGATTTCAATTGAACACCAACTGCATGTGTACTTTTAACCATATACTTGAATGTGTTCATCACTTTTTGCAGATAGTGAGTCATATCTTGAGATTTTTCGTCTCTGCAGGTTCTTGACTCTTGGTTAAGTTCTAAAGCATTTCGTATAAACTTAATTGATTAAGGGCTTTCACTGGCTCCTCTATTAGCTGTGAGCACAATCAGAGATCAGAGTGCTATTGTCAACGGGACTGAGTGCCTCCTCACCTCAATCAGAGCTGCAGGATTCCTTTATTGTATGCATTGAGAATCCCCGTATAGAATGTGTTAATCTGGACTTTGTACATGCCTTTATTGCTGAGTGTTTATAATTGATAGATAAGAAGGTCCTCTAAGCCATGGAGTGTCTCTAAGTACAGGCCACCCGTATATCGGAGGTTGGAAAACAGAATTCATTTTCATTGCCAGAACTAGTTCTAGCAATTGTGACAAATTTATGAACCTAAACTATACAGCAAAACATGTTTCTACATGTTTTTCAGAACATTGTTTATTTAGTTATTTACTACCAAAAGAGTTTTCATTATTATTGTTTTTTGAAGAAGTGTTTCAAATATTTGATGCCAAATTTATTAGGAGAAACGAAAATGAGATGCTGGCAGATATGGGCAAGGGTGGAGGATAAAAGGTGTTGCTTTGAATTTGATAGTAACAGAGTTTTGTCATCGAAATGTACAGCCCTCTAACTATACATTGCACAGCCTAATTCTTCTATGAGCAATTCAGCTTCTCCAGGAAATTAACTCAATGTTAAACATTTAATTAAATGCAAATGCTTGAGAATTAGGTGTTTGAAAAGAAATCATGAGATTGGCCCGATGGTTAAAAAAGTTTACTTTTGATTTTATGGGTTTAAACCACCTAGGAGTCACCTACCTTATTTGTGGTTTATTTGAAACATTAGGTTTGTAGGGTGTTCGATGGGTCTCAGATATTAATTGAGGTATGCACAAATTGATTCGGACACCCGAGTAAAAAAAAAAAAAATTATGAGCAAATTGTAGTGTTGTGAGAGTTTTAAGCCCAAAATAAAAGTCATAATTATTTATATTGGACAAGATTGCCAGTGTGTGTTGGATAATTTCCATCATTACCAGTTAGCTAACAACTGATAATAAAATTAAGCGGGCATCTGTTTAGATAGTTAATTTGTAACATCCAATGAACATTATAAATTGACCTCTCTTCCTCAAGAATTTATATTCTCTTTGGTGAGTGGAAGTTTCGTCGAGTTAACTTATTAGAGGTACAAACAAATGAAGGTTGAAAAATTGTAATGATGAACAGAAATGAAGATTTCCATTTGAGATTGAAGCATACAAAACATACCCAGATGTCAATGGAACTTCATTATTGTCTTCCAGAAAACTTAAAACAATGAACAAACAATCAACCCTCCTTCCCATTTCTCCATTCTTCTAAACATAATCATCTTTCTTAATGTAGGCCCTCCATAATATCACATCCATAGCTAAAATCTACCCCCACTCCATTAGCTTTATTCTTTCCCATTTTACTAATATTCTGATTTTAGTTCAGCTACAATATTTACACACTTATATCAAAGCATTTTATATAATTATATAGAGTAAACAACTTTTTCCCACCCAAGGTTTGCCTTAATGACACTTTCCCACCCAAAGTTTATATTCCATTAATACCCAAAATATATTTTCCGATTCGGTGGTCAATAGAGAGAAAACTCAGTCCAAGCTATTGGGGTTTTTTAAGAGGGGATTCCGATGAGTCTTTTGGTGATGAAAGTTTGGATTCTGGTGGTTCGGATTTGTCGGAATCCGACTTGGGATAGACGGTTGCGCATTCCATAAATTGCTCGATTTTCAACGATTGATAGGGTCATCAAGAACAAGGTTTGAGGAGGTTTTAGTGAGTGATAATCGGAAAAGAGAATGGTGGTAGTTTGGGATCGCAAAGATGCTGGAATCAGGTGGCAATTGGTAGGAATATAAACTTTGGGTGGAAAAGTGATATTTTGAAACTTGTTGGGTGGGAAAGTTATTAAGGAAAACCTTGGGTGGGAAAAGTGTTTACTCAATTATATATTGTTATGGATGTGCTTCAAGCCTTCAACGTTACATATAAATCTATATTACGTATATTTTGTCAAAACTTTCTAACTTTACTGTTAATTAGTCATGGTGAATAGCGATCAATTTAAAAATAAATAAATAAAAATTAAGATTTTTTTACCTAATTTTTGACATTTGTGAATTTTGATTTTGAATAAGGATACCCTCTTGGTATGAGCTTCACATAAACTAAATACACTGTTGTGATGGGTGGTTAATAAAAAGAGTAAACGACTTTTTCTCACCCAAGGTTTGCCTTAATGACACTTTTTCACTCAAAAAGTTTCAAAATACTATTTTCTCACCCAAGATTTATATCTCGTTAATATCCAAAATACACTTCACTTTCTCAACCAGTGTTCTACAAGTTATCAAAAGCTTGGATGAGAGGGGTTTTGTAGAGTGGATGCCGGTGGACTGAATGGTAGTGACTGATTGAATATTTGCAGTCAAAATTAGCCGAAAATCAACTAAAAATAAGAAACTCTAGCTGTGCGATGACCAACAATCAACGAGAAATCAGGTGCTAGAGTGAAAAGAATTTTGTAGAGAGGAGACCGAAGGTTCAAATGGTGATGACGGAAAGAATTTTCGCTGCTGGAATCGGCTTTGGGTAGTAACAAAATATAAACTTTGAGTGGGAAAGAGTCATTAAGGCAAACCTTGGGTGAGAAAATTTCGTTTATTCTAATAAAAATAGGAAACTCAAATCTTAATTCTTTCATTTATTTATAATTTATATTTTTTAGTCTATTATAAAACTATTAATTACATTACAAGTCCTTGAAAAAGCTCGGATTAAAAGAGAATCTTGTTCTTAAAGAAACTGAACTCATGTATCATAGCGAAACTGTTTATACTTGTTGTATTTACTAAGAAATGTTATATATACGCTAAAGAAAGTATGTGTGACTCGTATTTAATTTTAGGTCGTCCTTACCACTCTTATGAGCATGTATGCTGCTTAAAACTTGTTAATCAATATTGCAATGTATTTTTTTCCTCAGATTAGGAAGTCTACCCATGTCAACGTCACTTCACCGCACTGAAAATTTTGTAACATTATTGTAGGCCAATAATACAGTAAAATATAAACGGTTCATTTACTCTTATTGTCTTATTGATTCATCCTTTCAAAAGTTTCTTCTTCTGATAATATACATTTTTTACTTATATACTTATCCAAGAAGACAACTCATTACTCCCCGGCAAAGTCTTACTCGTTCAGCACTATGGAATTCTCTTCTAAAAATTATCTCCATTAACCTCTCCCCCTTCAATCTTTTTTCAATGGCAATCCTCAGCTCCAACTTTCATTCCAAAAAGCTCTTACTTTTCCTCAACATCTCCTTCCTCTTCCTCCTCTCTCTCTTTCTCAAATCTTCAGTCTTTCCCCACCAATCCATTCAACTCAATTCTTTACTCCCCCGGCGAGAACTTGTCGCCGACGGTTGCGCCGGCCTCCATGACTACAGTGATTACAAATCTCAGTGTACGTACGTCAAGTCTCAAGTGGGTTGCGAGCCAAAAGGTTATATAAACTATCTCAGAATCTTTTACTGCACTTGTGGCCAATTTCCCATTCTTGGTCACTTTCTTCTTCTTCTATGGCTTCTTGTTTTGTTCTATTTAATGGGCGACACAGCTGCCAATTACTTCTGTTCATCTTTAGAGAGTTTATCCAGAATCCTGAAACTCCCTCCAACTATAGCGGGAATCACTCTCCTTTCTCTCGGAAATGGAGCTTCTGATGTTTTCGCTAGCATTGTTTCCTTCACGAGATCTAACGATGGAGATGTTGGCTTGAATAGTATTTTGGGTGGTGCCTTTTTCATCTCCAGTGTTGTCGTTGGAGTTATAAGTATTTTCACGAGTCCTCAGGAGATTTCAGTTGATAAGCATAGCTTCATCAGAGATGCTCTCTTCTTTTTATCAGCTCTTCTGGCTCTTGTCTTGATACTTCTTATCGGAAAAATCAGCTTGTTGGGCGCAATTCTTTTTGTTTCTATTTACTTCGTCTATATTTCAGCTGTTTCTGGTTCATATTTCTATCAGAAAAGAAAAGAGAGAAACATGAACCACCTGTTTGATGTTCCAAGGAGTACTTTCTTTGTAAACAGCGAGGATGAATTTGCAGAAAGAGGCATACCATTACTCGGTTATGTAGATGACGAAAAACCAATTTTAATAGAGATCAAAAACAGCAGCCTGCAAAATCAACATCATCATGAGCACGATTTATCCTTTTCTTATTACTTTCTCAAGCTTTTAAATGTTTTGGAGTTACCTCTATACTTGCCAAGAAGACTCACAATTCCAGTTGTTAGTGAGGAGAAATGGTCAAAAACATATGCAGTAATTTCAGTAACACTGGCGCCACTTCTCTTGGCAGCAATCTACAACACCCAAAGGGAAAAACACACGGGCTCCAGGATCAGCCTGGTGACTTTCATGGCTGCAGGAGTGATTGCAGTAATTCTCGGGAATCTTGCCTATGTCACTACAAAAAACTCAAGTCCTCCAAAAAACTGCTTGCTTCCTTGGCTGGCTGGTGGGTTTCTGATGAGTGTAACATGGACATATATTACTGCGGAGGAATTGGTGTCTTTACTAGTTTCAATTGGGAATATTCTCGGAATAAGCCCTTCAGTTCTTGGACTTACTGTTTTAGCTTGGGGAAATTCACTTGGGGATTTGATATCAAATGTTGCAATGGCGATGAATGGTGGGGCAGACGGGGCACAAATTGCGATAACAGGCTGCTATGCGGGGCCAATGTTCAACACACTAGTGGGTCTTGGGATGTCACTTGTTTTTTCATCAGCTTCAGAATATCCAGCGGCTTATCAAATTCCTAAAGATCCTTCTCTCTATGAGACTTTAGCGTTTTTGATTGGAGGTTTGCTCTGGGCACTGGTAATTTTGCCCAGAAAAAGTATGAGGCTGGATAGGTCTCTAGGGTGTGGACTTTTGGCCATTTATTCTTGTTTTCTTTCTCTGAGGGTGGCTAGAGCTCTTGGTATTCTAAAACTTCACTGATTAATTTTGTATTTTTGTCATTATACATATTTTATAGTGATTTTACTATCATAAAAATCAACACGTAAACCAAGCTACTTGGTTTCTTTGTTTATTGTCTTATAGCTACAAGCTTATAATATTATATTAGAATTCTCTCTATTGATTATCACATCTTATTATAAGGCAAACTATTTCAAAGATTAGAAGCAATTTGTTGGCCCACATATTAAAAGGGTATCAAGAAACTTCTTAATTATCACAATTGTTCCTATTTGTAAAAGAGGAACTTATTTTATTAATTAATTAGTAGGAGTAATTGGAATCCTGAAAAATACTTTTGATATCATGTTTGTTATAAGAGTAGACGACTTTTCCCA